AACCAGACTTTTTATGGATATCTGTAAGAAATAGCTTTCTTCCATAAATGCCAGATTTCTGCAGTATATGACTGATTGTTGTCCTATAGACAAATTCTCCCACCTCAGCTGTAGATCTCTGCAGTTCATCCAAACTGACCTCGGGCCTCTTACCTGCGTCGCTGATCAGTCTTCTTCTTGTTTGAGCTGAAAATTTAAGGGGTTGGCCGGGACTCTAGTAGATTTGCAGTGGTTTTATACTCCTTCCATTTCAATATTATCGCTTCCTAAGTGCTCCTTGGGATCTTTAATGCTTAGGAAATCTTTTTTGCAATATAGATCCAGCAGCATACCCCGTCAGACCAGCATACCCCGTCAGACCAGCATACCCCATCAGACCAGCATACCCCATTGACCAGCATACCCATAGTACGCATGCGCAAGACGTCAGATTTGCATTTATCTCTTTAGTTTTATATGAAAAATACACTTTAAATTACCTCACCGGGCATGTATCCTTTTAGTCATGTCCCAAAAAAACTATTTAAGGTCAGATCGCCATATGCTTAAAAAAACCGCCAAGGTAGTTTAAAGTGTATTTTTTGTACAAAACTAAAGGGATAAACTAAAGGGATAAATGGGTTTTGACTATAGGTCTGACAGGGTATGCTCATCTGACAGAACACCTGCTTTAAACTTCTCCACAAAAGTATCTCAAACCCGCCCACTGTGTTCCTTGTTCTTCAAGATGCTCTCTGCACTTTAAACAGACCTCTGAGACTATAACAGATATGGTGCATTTATACAGAGACCGGATTACATACAGGTGGATTCTATTCTCTCATCATTGTCAGTCATTTAGGTCCACATTGAATCATTCAGAGAACCTCACTGAACTTCTGAAGAGAGTTTTCTGCACTGAAAGTAAAGGGGCTGATTCATTTTGCACCCTCCAAGTTTCAAATATCCAATAAATTGTGTTCCACTTCATGATTGTTCCACTTGTTGTTGATTGAAAAAAGTAACAATTCACCTCTTTATGTCTAAAGTCTGAAATGTGGCAAGAAGTTGAAAAGTCCAGTGGGGCAAAATACTTTTGCAAGGCACTGTAGCTCATCAACTCTCTTAGCTGAAACAATGGTTAAAAAAAAGGCAGTCTTATATGAGAGTCACTTAATAACTCGCCTGAGACACTGCTGAGGGTCCTAGTCATGTCAGGGGAGTCAGTCAGGGGAGCCTGCGCCAGCCACACTAATTAACGAGCTTGAACAAGAACAGGGATGACACTACCAAGCTCTCTGGTCATCGGTGCAAAGGCCTGCAATTCTATCACCAAATGCACCCGGTGTTGTTGCACCACCAGCAGTCTTAAGAGATGCAGAGAGGGCAAACAGTTGTGTGAATGAGTTGCCACGGCAGCCAGCATGTGCTCCTGATTCGTATGTCACAATGTGGACCTGTAGAGGTCCGAGCTGGCTCGGACGCCTGAGGGTGTGTTTCCTGGACGGGGCCGCCTGTGGAGCTTTTGACAGTTGCCTTTTGTATCTCTGCTTCTTTTTCTATGTCCGCTTCTTTCTCCTTGAACACCAGTCAGCCTTGGCAGATGGCCGCTTACACTGAGCCTGGTTATGCTGGGGGTTTCTTCCTGTTATAAGGGAGTTTTTTTCTCCACTGTCACTATAAGCATGCTTGATGTAAGAGATTGCTTTCGAGGCCATGAGTCGATGCAATTAGCTGGTTTTGCTTAGATAGAAAACTTTGAACCAATCTGACTGAATAACCTGCTTGAATTGCTTCTATAAAGTGCCTTAAGATGACAGGTGTTGTGAATTGGCCCTATATATATATATATATAAAATAAATTGAATTGAATCTGTGTCCTGACACTGAGTTGCAGGAATCAAACATCAGGGTGCAAACTTCATTGGGTGACACAATTAACTCAGTAAAACCAAGTTCAACAGCTAACAGGACAGCCAGCACCCGACCATCAGTGGACAGACATGACAACTTCCTTGTGTCCTGCCAACAGGCGGCAAAACTCCTTGAAAACGCTTTCCTGGAGGCAGATGCCTCTCCTTATGGGAGTTCCAGCTGAAAATGCCTCAAGGCCATAGAGATGATATCCTGCATAGAGCAAATGTGCTCCTGGATAAAAATGAGCCAGTCTGAGGGTTGAAAGAACGGTGACCCCTCCTCATAATCACCATCATCTCTTAAGTGAGAGGCAGATGCAGTAAGAGACAAAACATCCTCTTCTGCGGACAAATCAGGTATGGTAGGGGAAAAGAGCCCAGTTGCTGGAATTGAGGCGTCACTGATGTGTCTGCAACAACAACTTAATCTCCACTAACTCTTTTGGTAAATTCTCAACCCACTTGGCCAGGCCTTGTTAAGGCTTGCCATGCTTCCTCCTAAAGGGGTTGAGACACCATGGTCTTACCCCGGCACTTTGAAGGCCTGAGTGGGGCCACTTGCCAAGAGGACAGGAGGTCTGACTCATCATGAGGGCAAAGCTGGTCAAACTGAGCCCCTTTTACTGCATGAGGCTGCAGTTTATGCAGCGATTTTTAGACTGTACATCCACAAGGTGATCACGCCCAAAACAAAGAAGCAATAGGTCATAGCCAGCATCCGCCTGAAGTGCAACGCAGCAATCCATAAAGCAATTGGAGCCATACATGTCCAAGTTCAACAAGAGAGCTCAACCCCATTAAGATGGGAATTGAAAATGTAAAAGAAAAAGGCTAAAATCAGGAGAGGGGCCACAAAAGCTGCCATCTCCAATTATGGCCAAACAGGGAAACAAAAAGTGTCCGACAGACAGTCATTAGAATGAGGCAAACTGACTGAATGCATGTACTTTGTACATGCACAGTTCAGTGCTTTCAGCACCACCCTCGGGCTATCACTAGGGATGAAACAGATCCCATATGGATGAATGCTATGAGGGAAAAAAAAAGGCAGATTGCTGGTGCTTCTTGAATGGGGTTTATGAAACCCTACAGTATAAGGAACTATAGCTATCCACCAAAAACTTTTAGAGCACCTTATGCTACACTCTGCTCACAAGATTTATGTAGATAGCCCTTTTATTTTCCAGTATCTGCCCATACTGCCATAAGTACCAATACCTAGTTTAGTAATCATAGTATCACTTTGCTAGATTACCCAGCAAACATGCCTGATTTAAACCTAAAACAGAATGTTTTGAGAATTACCAGGGATTCCTTAATGTCTCTACTGAGCAACAGGCTGCTTGCAATATCTAGGTATTGTGTAGGAATTTAACTCTATAAACTGAATAACCGAGATGAAAGAATTGAAGTATATTATGGCATTCCAAATATATCAAGGTGTAATTGTTACTTTCCGGCTGAATCATGAAACACTGCTTTACTTTCCAATGAACATTGAAAGTTAAATTAAAGCAAACACTGTCTCATTTGTTTAGATTTTATTACATCTTTGTTAATGTGCAAAATATAAAAAAAATCTGAAACCCTTTTTCCCAACCATTGTCGTTTTTATGCTACTTTTTGGATCAAAGTTGGAAAAGGTTTTGTATTCATCCTGTCAATCTGTCAATTGAAAGTACCAAGTTGCAGCATTATGTATTTATTAAGCATTTTTTACCGTATTTTGTTGTAAGTCATTAAGTGATTTTTTTTGTGTTCATACATAATTACTGATGCCCCAAAACATCGGACGTAGAGCTCTCTAAAAGACTTAAGGTTTGAAAGCGTGTCATTTTGCATTGTAAAATGTTATCTTTTATATCATATCTACAGCAGGGGGCAGCGTTGCTTTTTTACCCATCAGTTCTCTCTGAGTTAATCGCTGCAGTAAGCGAAATCACCGCCAGAGGGAGATAGATTGAATTTGACAGCCATTCTAACACACATTGAAAATATAGAGCAGTAAATTATAGTTATAAGCACAAGATAAAAAAAAAATTATATATATA